CAAACATCTATTAAATGTTTCTAAAATTCTCTGCTTTTTGACTCTCACAAGCACAATCCTTAAACCAGCATCATTAGTCTAGTTAAAAGAAGATAACTAGTAGAAAGAGAGAACAAAGGAGTTAGTTTTCTCTTAGCATTAGGTGTATTTAAGGATGTCAAAGCGGTGGCGCTGTCGAGTTGACACTACAAGAAGTGTTGGTTTTATTGTGTTATATAGTAACTGCTTAGCCTACGTAGTAGAAAAATCTGAATTTTCCTTTTGAAGTTTGGCTAATTGGAGGGCTCCACTAGATGAAAAGACTAAATTTAATTTTGAATTGAACTTAACTTTAAATCTTTAACGTGGTAATAACTTTTATAAGTTATCATTAAGATTGATAAGAACACTTATGACTAAATTTAATTATTAATTATTGCTAAAATTATAAAGCCATGCATAAATGAACCATTAATGAAATCAAAATTTCAAAACAATGAAGTTGGTTAAAGTAACATTTAATGCAGTTGATCAGCAAATTAAACAATCATAATTAATTTAATCAATGAGTCTTATCCGTATAAATCAACAGTCATAGGAAATGGGTGTTCCTAGATGTTGATGAATGGAAAAAGTATTTATACTTGTACAGGTCAGAGAGCATTAATTTATAGTCATGAAAACAAAACTATAATTGATCACTAATAAAACCAACAGCTTATGTGAGTTCAAACTGATTAAATTCAACAGGCCAGGTACAGCAGGAAAAACAAAAATAAAATAAAACAGTAGTGATTAAACTCAGCAGTTAGATTGTGCACACTTTGATTAACTTTGCGTTTGTTAACTTTTCCAAGGTGAGTAAAGAGAAACAACTGAGATGCAAGAGTTATTTCAAGCATCAGCCATGCAATGCATTTAAGACCACTAAATGCTACATGCTATCTATTAGCCTTCGCTGCTACTGGAAATGCATAAACTTCAATGCAAACGCGTTAGCGTTAGTTTAGCTTAGCTTCACGCTATGCTCTTTGTTTACAATTCAAGCTGGCGCTGGCGGACTGCACATGCGCACTTGAATGTAATTCCGGCAAGTTTCTCTGTACTTCCGGATCAAGGTTGCTGCTATGGCAACGACCACAAAGTGGAATAATAGCAAATTTCACAGTATCACTTGAGATGACGGCGCATCTCACACTGTTCAAACAAAAAGCACTAGTTAGATTTTATATCTTAACAGTACTGAACGATTCTCAACTTATGAAAGTGAGATAAAATTAATCAACAGGATTTCTGAGATTAATACAAATCGTGACAGAGATATGGGGGATCTCAGCACTCTGTGTTAAGTCTGTTTAGACTGCAAACACATCCGTGGATTCAAACCACAATTTCAATTGATCAATTTCAAAACTTCTCCTATAAACTACGCTAGGCAGCTCTCTCTGAGCTCCGCGTTTTAAATCATTTACTAAGTATTAGCAAATTACAGGGCAACAAGAATTTAGTTAGCTATGCTAAATCAGTTACCAGGAGAAAACACAGCTGAGTTTCCAGCCGGGAATCGCGGCGTACGAAATCATACTGTGAAGGCCTTATATAACGTTATGAGATAAGCACAAAGGAATACGCTTTGTCTTTCTCTACATGCGCTTTAGAGCGGCTTACAGTGTGTCTCGGCGGACAATTTAAATGACGTTTTACTTTCTTAACAACACTAAATGCAGTCAAGCAATAAAACAAATGGTACCACAATGAAATTGTGCAGTAGCAAAACTTTTATTCCCTCTAATCTATTCTTTCCGGACAAAAATAGAAAAGATTAACAACGTGATTTCTGGGTTTTGTGCTTTAAAAGTTAGATCTGCTTGCCCTAATTATTCTCCACCACTATGTAAGAATCAGCTCTTTGGTTTAAATCATGTTTAAACTTTGGGGATTCGAATCAAAGATTCGAACATGATTCACATAGAATTATTTAAAGCTTACACTTAACTTAAGTATTTGTCCAGCAAATAGAACGTTTAGTGTAAAGCAATTCTGTATTATATTATTACGTGGCCAACAATAACAATATAAAAAACAGTATCTAATTATTTAATGAGCAAGGTAGCAGTATCTGAAGCTGAGGCATTAACTTATAAAGCACACAACACACCAACACGGATCTTAAAACGAAACAAAAGTTTATTGCTACTCTATAACACAAAGTACTAATCTACGTAAAACAAACAAATGCACATACATACACACACGCACAAGCAGTTTGAGGAGAGTTTTGACTGAGTGGATTCAACTTCTAGCCTTTGCTAAGTTCTTAGCATTGCAACCTGAGAGAAACCGTAAAAGCAGAGAATTTTGCTATTCTTTACTACTTAAACATAATTCACACCAGATTCAGTAATGGGTAGAAACCTTGTTTGTGCTACTTGCGTTCTGATGTAATTTTTGGCTTCCTCGACTGGTCCAAAGGGAAATCCCGGCGAAGCTGATTGGTCAGCGTAGCAACTTCAGTGACGTGATGGAATTCCCTTGTTGGTGAAGAGGGGTTTCCTTAGTCGGTTGCTAGGGATACGGATGTTGGACAAGGCGGCGTTCGAAGTCCTTCCTGGGTTCCTGCAGTTAGGATGAGTTTCAGAGTTTGGATATGTTGACCCGATGGCTTGTTGTTGAAGCGGTTGCACAAGCAGATCGGGGGTCGAGCCGGCAGCAAGTGAAGGTCGCGGTCTGCTCCGTGATGTAACGAGGCTTCCGGCGAGGCGATGTAACGGCCACAGCACGAGAAGAGCGACGTCCGGGCAGCGACGGCGGTGACGACTGGCAAAGATGACCGGCAAAAGACGACGATGAAATTCCTTTGTTCAAAGTTTTATAGGCTTTGGTAGAGGCTGGGTCTACACAATACTTGTCCAATCAGAAAAGGTGCGGGGTGGAGTCACACCCCAATTCTGCCCTCTAGAAGGCCGGGTTGACACCTGGTGTGGGTGCTGCTTTGATAGCATAGTGGTTAAAATAAAGTCTCATAACATGGACACTTTTCATAGTATGGTTTCTTCATATAAACCAATGCATTTGAAATGTTACTAGCTTTCAATCGATACCAAACATGAAGTATTTCACAAACATTCTATAGGTTTCATTTGTCACTGAGGGCTATTACTCAATAACTATAACTATAACAGTTTTGTTAAACACATGGAACATGTACACACAAAAACCTACAGAAACATAAAGCAAACGTACATTACTCAAATAAACTGTTTTACTTAAATGTCCATTAAACTTTGGAAGCGTTTCTGATCGCTTCTGTGTCTGCCTGAGAATGTGTATTCCTTGCAGACGCCAAAGGGCACGCGAACCAAAAGGTACTTCTCAAAAACCGGTTTGGTGGGTTTTTGATTGTAGAGCCTCTTATTGTTTTAAGGTGTAAAGTTAATTAACACGCAACTGTGATGTTGACTGGCTAGTCATCCTGTGGATTGCCTTTTGCTGGTTGCCTGTGGATTGCTTTGAAAATGAAATCAAAGCTCAGACTTGTAGGCACCAACCAATCTTTTAAGGATAACATGGTCTGTGACTTGTTCGGTTCTGGAACGATCCGTTGACTCCCCACAACTGATTAAACCTCTTGTCACAGTGTGAACACTTGTACGGTCTCTCCAGAGTAAATTGTTTGGTGCAGTTTCAATTTTGGAGCTGTAATAAGTCTTCTCACTCTCAAAGCGCATATACTCTTTCACATCAGTGTGGATTTTCATGTGTTTATTAAGGTTTGCTGATCGGTTGAATCTCTTCCCACACTGAGTGCATGTGAATGGTTTCTCTCCAGTGTGGGTCTTACATAGTCAAGTGATGCAATTTCCAAGGTCAAAGTTCACCAAGCTTGAACCTTGCAAGGCAGTGAATTGCAAAACTTGACGCACAAACTTATGTTTCCAGTCTGACACATTTGCGTGCGTATGAATGGAAGTCTATGGAGAGAAAAGTCCGGTGTGACCACAGACCCCAATTTTATACTCATTACACTGGCTGCCTGTTAAGTTTTGTATTAAATTTAAAATAGTAATTCTCACCTATAAAGCTCTAAATAATCTAGCTCCTGTTTATCTTCTGTCTCTCTACAATCCAACTCGCTCTTTAAGATCTCAAAACTCCGGGGTTCTGGTAGTACCTAGAATAGCAAAGTCGAGTAAAGGAGGTCGAGCCTTCTCATTTATGGCTCCTACACTCTGGAATAGCCTCCCTGATAACATCCGAGGCTCAGACACACTCTGTCAGTTCAAAACTAGATTAAAGACCTATTTGTTTAGTAAAGCATACACTCAATGCATCACTTAGCAGGTTTCCACACAAGTTTCTACATCTTGCTTATATACACTATGAACAGCAGCTACGCTAATTATTCTTCTTTTTTTTTCTTCATTTACACCTGGGGATACTCATCCCGAGGTCCTCAGATTATGCGGAGTCACTGATTGGATCTAAGACCAGCGACGAGATGATCCCAAGGTTTCCATATCCGGGACCAGGCCGTATCCTGAGCTGCTGCTGCGCTTGTGGTCGTGGGGAGTGGAGAACATGAGACTGATTCCAGTGATGCTCCAGGGACAGACGAGTCTTCGCTGAGGCCAGCTTCCAGCCTCCACTGCTGAGACTGCAGCTCTGCACAAGACTTTTGGCCAGCGAAGAAATGAAAATGGTCGTGCCCAACTGTGTCTGGTTTCTCTCAAGGTTTTTTTCTTCACTCCTATCAGTAAAGTGTTTTTTTTTTTCCCTCTCCGCTGTCGCCACTGGCTTGCATGGTTCAGGATCGGTAGAGCTATGCATCAATGGATTTGCTCTTCAGTGTTTGGACTCTCAGTAATGATTTAAACCACACTGAACTGAGCTGAACTGAACTTAAACACTAAAAACTGAACTACCCTGATCCAATTTATTATGACCATTTATGTGAAGCTGCTTTGACACAATCTACATTGTAAAAGCGGTATACAAATAAAGCTGAATTGAATTTAATTAAGAGCAAGTGAATGGTTTCTCTCCAGTGTGGATCCTCATGTGTTTATAAAGGGATGATGATTGGCGAAAACTCTTCCCACACTGAGTGCACGTTATTGGTTTCTCTCCAGTGTGGATCCTTATGTGTTGATTAAGGTGTGATGAGCGGTTGAAACTCTTCCCACACTGAGTGCAAGTAAATGGTTTCTCTCCAGTGTGGGTCCTCGTGTGTTTATTAAGTGATGATGCTTGGCGGAAACTCTTCCCACACTGAGTGCACGTAAATGGTTTCTCTCCAGTGTGGATCCTCATGTGTAGATTAAAGTTTGATGATTGGCTGAAACTCTTCCCACACTGAGTGCAAGTAAATGGTTTCTCTCCAGTGTGGGTCCTCATGTGTTTAGAAAGGGATGATGATTGGCGAAAACTCTTCCCACACAGAGTGCACGTTATTGGTTTCTCTCCAGTGTGGATCCTTATGTGTTGATTAAGGTTTGATGAGCGGTTGAAACTCTTCCCACACTGAGTGCAAGTAAATGGTTTCTCTCCAGTGTGGATCCTCATGTGGTGATTAAGGTGTGATGAGCGGTTGAAACTCCTCCCACACTGAGTGCAAGTGAATGGTTTCTCTCCAGTGTGGATCCTCATGTGTTGTTTAAGGTATGATGAGCAGTTAAAACTTATTCCACACTGAGTGCATGTGAATGGTTTCTCTCCAGTGTGGATCCTCATGTGTTTATTAAGTGATGATGCTTGGCGGAAACTCTTCCCACACTGAGTGCATGTGAATGGTTTCTCTCCAGTGTGGATCCTCATGTGTTTATAAAGGGATGATGATTGGTGAAAACTCTTCCCACACTGAGTGCACCTTATTGGTTTCTCTCCAGTGTGGATCCTCATGTGTAGATTAAAGTTTGATGATTGGCTGAAACTCTTCCCACACTGAGTGCATGTGAATGGTTTCTCTCCAGTGTGGATCCTCATGTGTTTATAAAGGGATGATGATTGGCGAAAACTCTTTCCACACTGAGTGCACGGTATTGGTTTCTCTCCAGTGTGGATCCTTATGTGTTGATTAAGGGTTGATGAGCGGTTGAAACTCTTCCCACACTGAGTGCAAGTAAATGGTTTCTCTCCTGTGTGGGTCCTCATGTGTTTATTAAGTGATGATGCTTGGCGGAAACTCTTCCCACACTGAGTGCACGTAAATGGTTTCTCTCCAGTGTGGATCCTCATGTGTAGATTAAAGTTTGATGATTGGCTGAAACTCTTCCCACACTGAGTGCACCTTATTGGTTTCTCTCCAGTGTGGATCCTCTTGTGGTGATTAAGGTGTGATGAGCGGTTGAAACTCCTCCCACACTGAGTGCAAGTGAATGGTTTCTCTCCAGTGTGGATTATCATGTGAATCTTAAGTTTGCTTTTGCTTGCCAAAATCTTTCCACACTGAGTGCAGGTGAAACAATTCTTGTCTCTCCTTTTCAAAATACCATCAGTCTGTAAATTAGTTTTTTCCTCAATTTTGACATAATGTTCCTCCTCTTTCCTCTCATTCTCTTCAATTAGGTCTGAAATAAATAAATAAAAGATTAGTTTTCATTAAGTCTAAAAATCTCTCATCAAAAGCTGAAAAGTAAAAAGACACTGGAAACATTGGCTACACACACTTATTTTGATGCATGGTAAATGTAAAATAAAATCGGATCATATTTTGTTCAGTCATTAACATGTACACATTTAAGCAGATTAAATTCATCTTTATTTATCTACAGCTTTTACAATGTAAATTGTGTCATAGTCGCCTAAAATAGAAGTCATTGTAAATTGAAACGCTGTCAGTCTAGTTTTCAGAGTTTCTTACATAATTGATCATAAAAGTAATTTTGGTCACATTGATAAGACACAGATTTGAAAGGTGTAAATGGTGTGACGACCCTGGTATTCCAGTTTGGATGTGGCAGATCCTGTTAAGGTGCCATGGTAGCTCCCCAATTGGTTCAAAGCATATAAATGCGAGAGTGAGCTAGCTTCTGTAGGATAGTGTGGCTACTGGCCGTCCTTGCATCAAGACCATCTCTTTATTTTGGCAACCTTATGGTTTTGTTTGGCATTATTTATATGTGTAGTTAAAGTTAGTTATTTTCTTTATTTTCCCCTAGACATTTGTTTGTTTCTTGATTTGTTGTTTTATTAGTTGTGTATATTAAATAAGTTGCATATATAATTTTTTTGTTGTCTAAGCTCTTTTATGTTGCAACTCGAACGAGGGGGTCCAGTTAGATACATCCAGTTAGATCATTTTGTTCTCTTGATCTGGAATACCTTATGCTTCGGTGCCAACCACACTGGCCACCAAGAGAGGTCACAGCTGTTATAATTACAGATGTTTGCATCCACCCTCAAGCCAACACACAGAAGGCGCTTAGGGAACTGAATGGGAGCATAAGCGAGCAGGAAACCACACACCCAGAGGCAGCATTTATTGTTACAGGGGACTTTAACAATGCCAATCTCAGGAAAATCACTCCAAAATACTATCACCATATCACCACAAACATGCGTGGTGACCGAATTTTGGACCACTGCTATTCTCCGTTCCGGGAAGCCAACAAATCCCTCCCCCGCCCACCGCTAAGCAAATCAGATGACTCTTTTGTTCTGCTCTTGCCTGCTTACAGACAGAAACTGAAACGGGAACCACCCACCCTCAAGAGGTTTCAAAGCTGGACGGACCAATCGAGTTCCATACTTCAAGAATGTTTTGATCATATGGACTGGGAGATGTTCCGGGCAGCTTCTGATGACAACATTAAAGTTTACTCAAGACACCGTTACATGCTTCATCAGAAAGTGTATAGAAGACATGGTCCCAACAAAAACTGTTCGTATCTACCCCAACCCAAAACCATGGATTGATGGCAAAGTTCGAACAGCCCTATAAGTGTGAACCTCCGCCTATAAATCCAGAAATGCTGAGGAACAAAAACAAGCAAACTACAACCTCAGGTAAACTATCAAAGCAGCAAAACATCAATACAGAGGTACAAGGTAGAGGGGAGGAGTATGTGGCAGGGACTTAATTACATAACAAACTTTAAAAGTAACAAACCCGCCACTGTAAACATTTCTGCATCTCTCCTGGACGAGCTTAACTCGTTCTACACCTGCTTTAAAGCCCAGGACACCCACATACTGTGCGCTCCCGCGGCCGATACCGAAACCGCCAGCACACTCTGTTTCTGTAGCAGACGTAACGAGATCTTTCCGGAACATCCGGAAAGCTACGGCCCAGATGGCATCCTTGGACGTGTACTTAAAGCATGCGCACACCAGCTAGCGGGGGTTTTCACGGACATTGTTAACCTCTCGCTCTCTCGGTCTGTGGTTCTCACATGCTTTAAGACAGCTACTATTGTGCCCATACCGAAATAATCTAAAACCACATGCTTAAATGACTGGCGTCCAGTTGCTCTGACACCCATCTTCAGCAAGTGCTTTTAGAAGCTGTTTAAAAAGCACATCTGCTCTGTACTGCCTGCTCACACTGACCCTCTGCAATTTGCTTACAGGAATAATCGCTCCACTGATGTTGCAATTGCTTTCACCTTGCACACTGCTCTGTCTCACCTGGAAAAAAAAACACATATGTGAGAATGCTGTTTGTGGACTACAGCTCAGTATTCAACACTATAGTGCCTGCCAAACTAGTGGTGAAGCTCCAAGCTCTGGGTCTACACAGCTCTATGTGCATCTAGATCCTGGACTTCCTGTCAAGCAGACGCCAGGTGGTCAGAATGAACAACATGACCTGATCCACACTGATGATCCACAGAGTTGTGTTCAGTCCACTCCTGTACTCCCTGTACACACGCGACTGTACAGCCAAACACAGCTCCAACGTCATCGTTAAATTTGCTGATGACAGTGGTGGGCCTAATCACAGATAATGATGAGATGGCCTACAGAGAGGAGGTTTACACTCTGACGCAGTGGTGTGAGGAAAACCACCTCTCACTCAACATCAGCAAAACCAAGGAGCTGGGAGAAAAGAGAACACACCCCCATCACCATCAACGGGACACCAGTGGAGAGAGTCAGCGTTTTTAAGTTTCTTGGAGTACACATTGCTAAGGAATTGACATGGACTGCTCACACAGACGCAGTGCTAAGGAAGGCACAACAACGCCTCTTCTTCCTCAGGCATCTCAGGGGGTTTGGAATAAGCCCTCACATCCTCCGCTCGTTCTACACCTGCACTGTGGAGAGCATCCTGTGTGGCTGTATCACCACCTGGTATGGAAATAGCACCAGCAGCAATCGCAAAGGCTTACATAGAATTGTGTGAACTGCTGGACGCGTAGTAGGAGGTGAGCTTCCCTCCCATCACGACATCACCAGGCGGTGCATGAGGAAAGCCAAGTGAATTATAAGCGACTCCAGCCACCCAAGCCATAGACTTTTCTCTCTGCTACCCTTAGGCAAATGGTTCTGCAGCATCCGGTCGCGCACCAGCCGACTAAAGGAAAGCTTCTTCCCTCATACTATCAGGCTGATGGACACTTAATACCCCTCACTGCACACCATGTATATGTGGCATGCACTGCACTTTAACCAATACATACCTAAAACAATACTGCCTACAACTATGGGTACACATATTCATTATACATATCGCTGTCAACAATTATAATGCTGCCAAATTATTTTGTACTATCTGTATTTTGCACTGTCGTTATATTTGCACTGTCTGTATTTTGTACTGTCTAGAGCCAGCACCTAAGCGTTTCACTCATCATAGCACACGTGCTGCTGATGATGTGACAATAAAAGTGATTTGATATTCATGGCCATTTTTTCTTCATTGGCCTTTATTATAGCAATATATATAATAGCCATGACAGCATATAATCATGCAAGATACTTCTAAAAGATACACTAAACCTCGAGAATACTCCTCTTCTGGACCAGGCACACCACACTCTATGCAGCAAACCAGTGGATGACAAGGAACCGCCATGCGCCTTCGTGATTAAATGCCACTACTTTTCCGAAAAAGAGGATATTTTGAAGAAAGCTGCTGAAATAAAGGACAACAGTACACTGGGCTGTGAATGACAATACAAATGTTAATGTCGCTCTCCGGTTAACTTTTAAATAACCACTATAGCACATGTTGGTTGTTGTTATTTCTAGTTCTCAAGTATATTTTGTCAGTAATGGGGTCGTTTTCATGAAACATCAAGAGCTGTTCAAATGGTTTTGTTTTATACGTGAGGTCCCACATGGTCAGCTAGCTAAGAGTGTGAGTAGGTGGAAGTGTGTGTAAGTTTACACCAAGGTTTTAATCTTGTGTTGTTTCGTGTTTATAAAAGTGTATGTGTGATCACACCTTTTTTTTCCTTTTTTTTTTCTTTCCTCTCTTTCCCCAAGACATCCCCCTACATACAAAACCCACAGATACCTTTCGGGTGCTTCGGATGCTTCTGATAAATGTTTTCAACAGCTCGTAAAATGGGTGAAGTAAAGACAAACTTTACCAGTTGGAATGTGCGGAGGCTAAATCACCCAATAAAAAGAAACAATTAAAATCAGTTAAAAACAGTTCAAAACAGATATTGTATATTTACAGGAGACACATCTGTTGAAAAATGACTATTCTAAACTTAGAGGAGGCTATACACAAATATATTATTCAAACTTCAATAGCAAAAGTAGGGTCGTTGCTGTACTCATACATAAGAATGTACAGTTTGTCATTGAATCAAATGTGCTGGATAAAAATGGCAGATACATAATAATCCAAACTTTTAACATGTCTGTGGTCCTGGCCTATGTGTATGCTCCTAATTGGGACAATGTACACATTTTCAGTGATTTATTTTCAATTTTGCCTAGTCTTGACGCACACAATTTAATTTTAGGAGGCGAACCTCCTGAATTTTATTCACCTGTGCATCAAACCTATTCCAGGATTGACCATTTTCTCCTGGACAAGCAGTTACGTCCCTTACGCCCCATTCACAAGGGGCATCAGCGTCAACGCTTCCCGTTCACTTTGAATGGGCGACGTCAGGCGTTGCCGAACTGCATTGTGGATTCGTCGACGCTGCTTCAGAGGCATTGTTCGCTGCAAAAGTTGGGACTTGATCAACTTTTCAAGCGATGGAAGCATCAGCCAACAGATCGCTGTATGCAAATTCACCAGCTCAGACTGTGGCCTATTGCTGACTAAATTCATTGGCTAACGCTGCTATGACGATCACGTCAGCCCCAACTTCAGACACGCCCTCTGTCAAGCGTTGACACTGAAGCCTTGTGTGAATGGGGCATTAATGTCAGCAGAAGAGTATGGTAGTATTGTTATTTCGGAACATTGTCCAGTCTCTCTAAAGCTATGTTTCCAGGCAATGGAATCCTCCAACATAC